GGATCAAAGTGTATGATTGGAACTAGCAGGAAAGTCTTAGGATTACTATTGTGAACTCGGTGGAAGTCAGAATTAATATTAGTAGAAAGTCTGACTAGTATTCTAGAGGGTTACCACATGTTTGGGATGAAGTGTTTACCAATGGTGTGCAAATCTCGTGACTTTTGACCTCAATGACAAAACCATTGCTCTCCCTAGTCCTTGCAGGCTCCATTGGTTCCCTGTTACAGAATGGGTTGATTTTAAGATCCTCACACTCACTTACAACACCAACAACAACAAATTACATTTGTATAGCGCCTTTCATATTGGGAGGATGTCCCAAGGTGTTGGACAGTCCAGGATTTGACCCGAGCAGGGATTGGGATTAGGAGGATGGAGGGCAAGGATGGTGAGGGTAGGAGGGTGGCTGAAGGTGCAGTCGAGGGAGGAAGGTCTTGACATACCTTGAAGGAGGCAAGGGAGGGGTTGAGGTGGAAGGACTGTGGGATGGAGTCCAAACAGTGGGGGAAGAAAGGCTGAAGGCCTGACTGCCGATGCTGGATTGGGTCTGGCGGGGGAAGTGGAGCAAGCCGGAGCCTGCTGAGCAGAGGGAGAGGATAGGTTGATATGGAGTTAGCAGGTCACAAAGGTAAGGATGAGGATTTTGTACTTTGAAAGCGAGGATGAGGATTTTGAACTCTATCCTCTGGGGGAGAGCCAGTGAAGCCGGGCAAGGAAGGACCCAGCTCAACTGACTCCAGAATGCAATCCCTCCCTCTCTGCCGCAAGATATAATTCATCAAGTGTAAGAGTGGTAACATAATTGCTCGTGAAGATTGTGACTGCAATGGCAAGGATTCCTTTGCAATGTCTGCACTATCTACACTGCTTGATCAATTTAATAATAATAATAATAATAATACTTGTATTTGATATAGCACCTTATCACGTTGTTGAGCTGTCTTGGTGCTATACTGTAAAGTGGATTGAACTGTATATTTTGTAGGAGAAACAAGCCCCTTGGGTCATCCTCCTGACGTGAAAGGCACTATACAAATGTATTTTTTGAATATATTTTGATATATTAATGCAGTCATGCACAGCCTAAAATCAAGGAGGAAAAAGCCTCTACCAAAACATGTGGTGTTTTGCTGAATCAACAGCTTCTTACCTCGCTGCTGATCCACTTTAACCCTGCTCAGTTCATTTCCATTACCTTAGTGCTCTGAGTTGATGCCACCAGTCAGGCACTGTGTGAGACACCATTACGTTGTGATGCAAATGCCAATGTATTCAATAAAATCAGTGTACAGTAATTCACCTTTTTTTATCCTGTCCAAAAGCAGTGAAGTGTTTAATGGAAAAAACGCTGACTTCTTTTTCTTTGGGGGGGATGGTGCGGGGGTGGAGGGGAGAGGGAGCTCCAGGTTGACTCGCGGAAACTTTCTATGAAGTGGTAGCAGGTCGTTGCGGTGTAAATATCTCTGCCCTGGTGGTGGAGCAGTCTGTCAAACTGAGCTTCTGATATTGATGGAAGTAAAAGATTGTCTTCTGTAAGGCACCTTGACATTTAGTAGTCCAGCTGTGTAACACTTTTTGAATAGTAACCTAACCAGTCATCTCGACAGAACGAAGATAACAGACCTTACAGGTGACACAAGCAGTTGCATTCTAAAGTTGCCCTTTAATATTGGTCTTCTATCTCGATTGCCTTGTGCTGTATCCCAACCTCCTCAGCTGAAAAGTCTGGAGTAACTGAAGCCATAGATTATTGCCACATTATTATCATTATTATTACATAGATTATTGCCTGTTAACATGGGAAAAACCCTGCACACAGGAAGTGGGTTGATTGGCTGAAAGCCGGCAAAGTTCAATTCTCTATCGTGCCTCACGTCAAAGCAGTTTGGGATAATATGGATCCTAAACATTATGTTACAGTGTGGCTCACTGTACTTTGTGGATTATCTGGCCAGACAGCGATGGACAGGTCTGTCTGAGAGAATATCAAGGCTGGGTTGGAAATGGAGGCTGAACATCACTTTGGCACCTATGTTTTGCAGTGCTGTCATTCTGCTTTATTAATTATACTGGACACAACAAATTGGTTTATCATCGATAAAGCAAAAAAAAAGCATCTTAACTTCACAAAGCCAGTGCACATCCAAAACAAATATCATACCTGACCATAAATGTCCCTCAGTATATCTGAGAAACACAACTTACATTTATAGAGCTGGTAGTTCAATAGTGTAGTTCAGGGGTCTCCAACCTGTCAATCGCAATCAACTACTCGGAGTATGAAGAAGTGGCCCTCCAAACACCCCCACCAATCCAGGTAAGTCCGCACCAAAGTTCCAACAGCTACTGAGCTGCGATACCCTTGACATGGCCATTAATAAATAAAAATGTATTTGTTGGCCCACCATGTAGGTTGGTGACCACTGGCGCAATTTGACCCTGAGCTGCGGGGAAAGGGGAAGTGACTGTAGGCACAATTGAAGTGGAAAGTTTTCAGATGCAAATAACAGGCAAGGCAGAGGGATTCAGACAAAGGATAAGGTCATAAGTGGCTGAAGCCTGATGGTGGAGCAGAGGGGTCAAGGGACGCGTAGAAGGCCTGAGCTGGCCAAGCAAAGTGGCATTGGAGAGGAGTATTGTATGTGCAGATTGGAGGGGTAGGTAGATGCTTTGTAAGTGATTGGTAAGTGATTTCCACCTCCTTGCCCCTCTATTCACAAACATCATAAACCTCTCCCTGTTCATTGGCACGCTTCCCACCCTTCTAAAAACGGGGATATCACTCCTACCCTTAAAAAATCCTCCCTGAACCCATCCCCGCTCTCAAACTTCCACACCATCTCCTACTTCACTTTCCTTTCCAAGCTCCTGGACCGAGTCATTGCTTCCCAGCTTCGCTCCTTCCTCTCCCACCACTCCCTTCATGAACACCTCCAATTGGGTTTCCGTGATGCCCGCAGCACAGAAACAGCTCTGGTCAAAGTGACAAATGATATTTTGTCCACCTATGACTAGGGCTCCCTCTGCTTCTTCGTCCTCCTTGACCTCTCTGCTACTTTCTATACCGTTGACCACTCTATCCTCCTCCACCCCCTCGCCTCTCATCTCAACCTTCATGGTTCTGTACTTGAATGGTTCAGATTCTACCTTTCACACTGTATCCATTTCATCTCTACAAATTGTTTCTCCCCGAGCTCCTGCATCATCTCATGCAGTGTTCCTCAGGGCTCTGTCCTTGGTGCCATCCTCTTTAATATCTATATGCTCCCTCTTGATAACATCATCCGCAGACGTGGGGTAAACTTCCACATGTATATGAATGATACCCAACCGTAGCTCTCTGCCTCCACCCTTGACTCCAGGACCACTGCTAACTTTTTGAGTTGAACGTCAGTGAGACTGAGGCTCTCCTAATTGGCTCCCGTCAGCGCCTCCACACCTCAGGTGCTGACAGCATCAGCATTCAAGGATGCACACTCCACCTTACTAAGCCAGTCCAGAACCTTGGTGTCTTGTTTGACCCTCAACTATCCTTTCTACCCCACATCCATGCCATGACCCACTCTGCTTTCCCCCACCTCTGAAACATCACACCATTCCTCGCCACTGTCTAACACCCATTCATAACGTCCAGACTTGACTTTGCAAATAACCTGCTGTCAGCCTCCCCAACTCCTCCTTCTATAGGCTGCAGATCATCCAGAACTCTGCAGCTCGGGTCCTCTCCCGCATCAGGTTCCATGACCCTATCACCCCCATCCTCACCCAACTCCACTGGCTTCTCATCATACAAAGGATACAGTTCAAGATCCTGGTCCTCACCTTCAAAGTTCTCCATGGCCTCGCTCCCCCCTACCTCTGCATCCTCCTAACCACCTACCAACCTGCCCGCTGCCTCCATTCAGTGGGCTTCGGCCTGCTTCACATTCCCCGCCTCGCCCGCCCCACAATTGGCAGACGGACCTTCAGCCACTCTGCCCCCACCCTATACAATTCCATCCTGCAGTCCCTCCACCTCGACCCCTCCCTTGCCTCCATCAAGACCCATCTCAAGACCCTCCTCTTCGACCATGCCTTTGATCGCCCTCCTTCAACAACAACAACAACAACTTGGATTTATATAGCGCCCTCCATGCCAGACGATGTCTCAGAGCGCTTCACAGTAACAGATCTCGGAGCTGAGCCCCCTCCTTCCCCCCCTGCTCTCCACCCTCCCTGATCCCGACCCCCAGCTCGGGACCAAAACACTGATTGTTCAGCGCCTTGGACACCCTCCCGACATGAAAGGCGCAACACAAATGTAATTTTGTTGTTGTTGTTGTAAAATCAATCCATCCAGGGAACCAATGGAGCCTGCAAGGACTAGGGAGTACGGAGTCTGGTCCAGTGGTTTTGTCATTGAAGTCAAAAGTCACAAGATTTTCACAACATTGGTAAACACTTCATCCCAAACATGTGGCAGCCCTCTAGAATACTAGTTAGACTTTCTACCAAAATATTAATTCTGACTTCCACCAAGTTAACGTCTGAATGCTGTTCTCGAGGGTCAGCGATTTGCAATTCCTTTCAGAAATCTTGCTATTTAGACTCTGATATGAACTGACAATCGAAAGCAATTAAATAGCTTACATTACACTGCTCTATTCAAAGAGCCAGCACAAACTCAATGGGCCAAATGGCCTCTTTTTGTGCTGTATGATTCTATGATTCTATGATCAGGAAAGACTACGTGGCAGAGGTCCTGGTCTGAAACTCTCTGCCTCAATCCCTCCGCCTTGCCACTTCCTTGCCCAATTTCAGATCATATCTAAAGACCTTCCCCTTTGACTGTGCCTACATCTCCTCCCATCTTTCCTTTGCTTAGCGTTAAGCTCTGCCACTTTAAGCACTCTGAGACCCTACCCTGCATGAAGGGCACAATATAAATACAATTATTATTGTAATTGGTCAAGCAGGCATCATGTTAGAGGCTGCCACTCCAGGGCCATATCACTTACCTTGCAGGTTTTGCAGCGGTAATGTCATGAGGCCTCCTGCTGCAGCCGCTGCAACCAGTCCTTGGATGTTGGTGAGGTTGGCAGTGGGTAGACTTAGGACCAAGCCCTGCTGGTTGCCAAGCTGACCAGCCATGTTAAACGGTATGAGGATGGGTTGGTTCAGGGCAGGATTCCCCGCTGGCATCACTCCTGCTACGGCTGAAGCCAGCTGTTGTGCTGTCAACAAGGGCTGCAATGGAACAAAGAGAGAATCATTCAGAAATGAGCGTCACTGTTCACGAGTGTGTACATAATAATAATACTATAATTTGACACAGCGCCTTTCACGTTGGGAGGACGTCTCAAAGTGCTTCACAGGATATACTGTAAGTGTAGTGACTGAGTGCTTTGTAGACTAACACGATACCTTCCACCCTTTCATGAAGGCTCAAATAATAATCCTTGAATCTGATCTATCTCCGATAACATCTAAATGTTTCAAAGCACTTCGCAGGCAATTATAGTCCAGTGGAGTGACTGTTTTTGGACGCAAACAAGACTGCAAGTTTGGACGCAGCAGGGTTCCACAAACAGACATGAATTGAATGAATAATTAATTTGTCAGCCAGGACACCAGGAGAATCTCCCTTCTCTTTTCAAATAGTGCCATGCAATGTTTAACAGCCAGCTGGACAGGTAGACCGGACCTCGGTTTAACATCTCATTCAAGGCACAGCATTCCAACAGTAATAATAATAATCCTTTAATTTGATATAGCGCTTTATCACATCGTTGATATGTCTCAAAGCACCTCACAGAATATATTGTAAAATGGTTTGCCACAAAGCAGCGCTCCCCCAGTACTCAACCCCAATTGTGGTCATTGATCATCTCCAACTCTTCAATAATGGGAAGACCTGCCCTACATTTGTTTCTGTTCTAATGGGCAGAGGCAGAGGATCATCTTGACATTAGGGTCACCACCCATAGCGGATTTTGTGTTATAATGGGAATCACTGCAAGTGAACAGTGTATTATAACCTCATTTGATGCACTTCATGCTAGATCATTACCTTAGCAACCTGGGTGCATGTGGTTATCAGTTATAAATCTGGACCTCCTCACATTTAAAGAAATGACTTACTTTGAGGAACTTTGGGCATCACAAATTTAAGCTGTCAACACAACAGTTTACTGCTTGACCTGCTGAGTGTTCCCAGCGACTTCTGTTTTTGTTTTAGGTTTCCAGTACCTGCAGTATTTTGTGTTCAGTTTATCAAAGCTGGCTCATTAACTCAGTGCAGTTTGAGCAATTTTTTCAGTCCTGGTTAGTACAGATTTTTGCTTCATTTTTTGCACACAAGCTCATTTACCTCTGACCATTCGCACTTCTCCACCTATCCTCCTCAGTCGTTCACAGGCTTGAACCTCCCCCCAGGCTTAGTTCATAAAATATAACGTTGCACAGAACTGTGAACATGTCTTAAATTTAGATTGAGACAAAATATTAATTTATCACTTCAGTCCTGTTGTTATCCTCCATTACTATCATGTTCAAATCTCAGCACTCTCTTTTTCTTGATTCACCTCTTTTATAGTCGACTACTACAATGACGGCAACAACAACAGTTTACATTCATACATCGCCTTTACAACAACAACAAGATTACATTTGTATAGCGCCTTTCACATTGGGAGGACATCCCAAGGCGCTGGGACTTTACTATCGCCTTTACTATTGCGAGAACGTATCTGTTACAGAGGGAGCCCAAGCTGGGAGGATTCTAGAGGGATGCGGGGAATGTGGCTGAAAGTACAGTGCGTAGAAGCATAGAAATTTACAGCACAGAAGAAGGCCATTCGGCCCATCATGCCTGCGCTGGCTCTCTCAAGAGCAATCCTTTCAGTCCCATTTACCTGCCCTTTCCCAACGCCTCTGTAAGTCCACAGCACCAGTCAAAGTGACAAGTCCTGAGGAAGGATTGGAAAGCAGAGCTGAGCCAAGAGAGAAAAGTTTTCAGAAGGAGGGAGGCATAGGGGCTGAAGTCATGCCCACCGATGATGGGTGGAGCATGAAGCAGGCCAGAGCTGGTGGAGTGGAGGAGTGGCAGGAGATGATTGTCGAGATAGGGTGGGGCAAGGCTGTGGAGGTACATCAAGGTGAGAACGATGATCTTAACAATCATTCGCTGGGAGACAGGGAGCAGGTGGAGTCAATAACCACCTTCTTTAATAGATTCCATTGTCAGTCCATCAATTCACCAAGTAACAATTCTTCCTACTGTACTGCAGTGAATTCCTTCCGAGCTTTGCAAATCAAGCTTTCTTGCAGTCCAATACCATGGGTTGTGGCCCTTCTTTGTCTGTTGCGAGTCTGATACTGAATTCTATCAAGCCTCTGATCACTGTTCCCAGATTTCTAACTATTTCCGGGTCATTACTCAAACCAAATGGAGTAACATCTATTTCTCTTGTAGGCGTTAAGATGTACTGCATTAGGAAGGCATCATGAATAAATCTACTTTACTTTTTATTTGTTCTACTATCCATTCCTCTCCCAATCTATATGCAAGCTAGTAGCTCTCATTATTACTACATTTTTATTCCAGCAGGCTATCCTGATCTGCACGCGCATACATATTTTGTTAAGTCATCTCAGTCAAATCAATAAAAAAAACTCCCACCACTGTTTTACATATATTCCTATTCTTTAGGAATACATGAACATAGTGGGCTATATCAAACCTGCTTTAGTTCTTACCCATAGTGATTCTATGTGTTAATGATAATGAAAATAATAATGATAATAATAATAATAATCCTTACATTTGGTACAGCACCTTTCACATTGGGAGGTCATCCAAAAGAACTTCACCATGATTTACCATGAAGCAAAGAGACTGTGTATTTGTGGGCAAACGTGGCCAATTTGCTCACAGCAATGTCCCGCAAACAGCCTCAAAGTGAATGATCAATATTTTTGTATTATTTGGGGGATTGTTGGCCACAACACTGGGAGAAACTTCTTTCTCTTTTTGAATAGTGCGGCAGGATCCTTAACGTCCACCTGAACAGGCAGACGGGGCCTCGGTTTAACAGTTAATTCGAAGGACGGTATCTCCAGCAATGCAACACCACTCCCCCCCAGTGCTGCATTCGAGTGTCATCTTTAGATTATTTAAGCTCAAGTCCCGACATAGGACTTGAACTCACAGCCTTCTGCCTCAGAGGTAAGAGTGCTACCACTGAGCCAGGCTGACACACCCACCATCATGACAGTGCCTTTTCCTAGAATCGATGTTCCACCTCTTTCCAGATCACGTCTGAAGACCTGCTTCTTTGATCCTGCCTAGGGTCACATCCACTCTCTATCCAGCGCAGCATCAAACACCACCAATGTTAGAAGGCTATGAGATTGCTTGTGCATGAAGGACATAAAATCAAGTTGTTATTGTTGTTGTTATTCTATTTTCCCTGCCTCTTCTAAAAATCTTATCTCCTAGCATGCTCGGTTCCCAGTGTGGCCAAAGCAGAGGTCAGCCCTATAATAATAATCTTTGCATTTGATACACAGTACAGCAAATGAAACCTCTACATATGCAGAGGTGCTGGAAGTTTTCAAAATGTATTGGGTCTGAAAACCTTGACAGGTACTTTATTTTGCACTTCATGGTCAATCCTTAACATACTAAAATCCTGCAGAAAGCTAATATCCCAATATTAAGAATAATTATTAGTAAATCCAATCATGCACTCTTGTGATTTAGGAACACACAGTACAATTGTCCAATACAAAAAGCATCATGTGGTTTCAATGCTTTGTGACACCGAACACAATATAAGATCCAGATAACAAGAGGATCAGGTACCAACAAGAGCTCTGAACAATAGAGGATTGCAGAGAGCCGTGATAGCATTGCAGTCCATGAGTTAAACCGTGTGCAAGCGGTGCTTAAAAGGCCGCTTTTTTCACGCTGGGGCATAATCATAATCCTTATGATAATCCTTAATAATTCAATTGCAATTTTTGCAGTAATGGAAAGCAACTTTATCTTAAAATGCACTTCCATTTTTCATAGAAACAGAGAGTTAAACAGCACAGAAGAAGGCCATTCGGCCCATTGTGTCTGTGCCGGCTCTTTGAAAAGTGCTATCCAAATCAATCCCACTCTCCCTTCTGTTCGACCCTGAGCTGTCCTTTCTTCCCCACATCCGCGCCACAGCTGGCACTACCTTCCACCACCTCCGGAAAATCGCCAGACTACAGCACTACCTCACCCCTCACGCTGCTGAAACTCTGGTCCACACCTTTATCACCTCAAGGCTGGACTATGGGAACTCTCTCCTCGCCGGCCTTCCCGCCACCTCCCTCCACAAGCTGCAGGTCATTCAGAACTCTGCAGCTCGTGTACTGTCCCGCACCAGGCTTCGCGACCACATCACTCCCACCCTCGCTCACCTCCACTGGCTCCCCATCCCCCAGAGGATCGAATTCAAGATCCTCATCCTCACCTACAAGGCCATTCACAGCCTTGCACCCTCCTACCTCTCCGACCTACTATCCTCCCACGTACCTGCCCGTACCCTCCATTCCTCTGGCTCCGGTCTGCTCCACATCCCCCGCCCCAACCGCCCTACCATCAGTGGCCAGGCTTTCAGCCTCTCAGCCCCGAGGCTCTGGAACTTCATCCCCCAGTGCCTTCGCCGCCTCCTCCCTTTCCTCCTTCAAGGCTGGTCTCAAGACCTTTCTCTTCAACCGCAACTTCAGCTCCCCTCTCGACTCTCTACCCCCTCCTCACTCCCTCCCTCCCTTCCCTCCCCTCACCCTGACCATTTCCCCCCTGCTCGGGTCCCGACCCAACTGTCCAGCGCCTTGGGACGTCCGCCCGACATGAAAGGCGCTCTATAAATGCAATCTTGTTGTTGTTGTTGTATAGCCCTGTAAACTTATCTTCCCCAATTAATTATCCTCTTCTCTCTTAAAAGTTGTTATCGAATCAGCTTCCACCACTGTTTCAAGCAAAGCATTCCAGATCCAAACAACTCACCGTGTGAAACAATTTCTCCTCACCTCCCCTCCGTTTCTTTTAACAACTATTTTAAATCGGTGTCCTCGGGTTACCAACCCACCCGCCAGTGGAAATAGTTTCTCTTTGTTCACCCTATCGAACCCCTCATAATTTTGAAAACCTCTATTAAGTCTCCTCTTAACCTTCTCTGCTCCAAGGAGAATATAATAGCTTCTCTAGC